TTGAAGTGTTGTTTTGTGCCATTTCCTGCAAAGCACTCCCACCAGCCAAAGCAGATAGGGTAGGAAGAGAAAAATATTATCTAAAGACCATTTAATTTCAGAGGAACCGTGTTAAAAGACCTTGGATTTATGCTATTGTGCCTAAATATTTTGGGATTTCCTGCCAATGAAATCTACATTAACTAAAAACAAAATATTAAAAATATAATTTCGTTCTAAAATTACACTTTTAAAATATACAAAGGCACTAGAGAAATGCTAAAAGAGTTCTTCACAAGAAAAATGGGTTATATCCAAGAAAGCAAAACTGAGGTTATATCCAAGAAAGCAAAACTGAGAAGTTTGCATAACTGGTCACTCTTCCAGTTCTGGCTGTTCTCACATTTAGCCATTCTCAAACTTGTCATGCAAGAAGTTTGCAGATATTGTAAAGTTCCCCAGGAAAGCTGAGTTAATGTAGCCACTGTTTACAGATTTGGAACACCTAGGAAGAAACAGACACTTGCTTATAACCAAAGCATCACTGGCTTGGCTGTCCCGATGTTTCCTAGAGCACAGGACTTCAAAGCTGACTGAGAGAGCTTATCAGCCTTCCTTGTCATTTATCACATCAGAAAACAGCAAGTCTTGCTCAACTCCATCCCTCTGACTAATGTGAATGTACCTTTCCTTTTGGCAGGAGAAAAAGAAAAAAGCACAGTAAGTGCCTCAAATTCTTATCCTCAAGTTTTTGCAGGTAATGAAATTTGGTCATTAGAGTCAGGGTTGCAATAGGCAGGGGGGTAATACAGAGAATGGTTTCTCTTGAGTCAAGGCAGAGAGGAAGTTTTACCTCAGAGGCACACTCCGTGCTGCACATTGTGCTGCAATTTCCATCACCCCACTGCAGCCTGGCAGAGCAGAAATGTCTTTAAAGAGTTGAGAGCTCCTTGTGCCTCTCCTCTGGCCCCAAACCTGCACCACCATTGCACAGAAACTCGTCCTGCACATCCTGCCCCGTCCAGCTCAGTCAGCATTTGTGGTGCAGAAATGCAGCAGTGCTCCATGGGGCTGGTGCTAAGCAAGGGCTGGGCTGAAAACACACCGTGAACTCTCCTGGCAGAGGCTCACTCCAAACCAGTGACAGTCACTGACAGCACAGGACAGGGACTGCACAAAGGTGGCATTTCAGAGGGGGAAGGGGAAGGAGGCACCACAGGAGCCTGCCCAAACTCAGTGCTGGGCAATACTGAGGAGCCAAGCACAGACACTCACCTCACACCAGTTAGAAACCAAGCCCAAAGGAACAGACTGATGCCACATTGTGCACCACTGTTCAGTCATCAAAGCAACAATTAAAACTTGCACCAACTCTGTCTCTTCCTGGCAAGATCTGAATAACAGCACAGTCTTGAAATTTTAGTTTGGGGAGATACTCTTTGAACAAACGAGGGCATTATTCAACATATCTGATGGCTTCCTGAAGGTTTGTGAAGAGTCTGCTCTGTGACACTTGGGCTACTTCACCTGACTTCATTTGGCATTTACTCCTGGTGATTACTGCTCCACCTCAATTAAAAACCGCATCTCTTGCATCACACCAGAGTTATGTGAACACAAACTTGACAATCTCACGTAGCAAAGCAAGCATTCTGCCAAGAGACCGTGCCACAGTCTATTAGCACACATCTGCATTTATGGCTTCAGTCCCATTATGGAAAAGACAATAATGCCTTTGAGGATAGCAAGGTCCAAACAGCAATACAAGCACTGCAAATTGGAATTTCTTCCAAGCAGTGGGGCTAAAACCACAACTCAGTCTTGGAGGATATTACCAAAGCCCCAGTCCTCTGTCAGCATCCTGCACTGCCTTCAACAGCGCTGGGAAAGGAGCTCCCATCCTGGAATGCAGCAGCCTGAGCACCCAATGGATCAGCAGCCAGTTCCTTTGGGTTTGTGCACCATGAAGGACTCGAGATTTGATGTCAAATCCAGCGGATTGAAAGATGGGGGAGGAGGGAATGACAGACCTTGTCGATCTCAGAACAGGGAGAAAGTTCTTCCAGATGCCTAGGGCTGACTGCTGTCCTTATCCAAGCTCTTAAGTAAACAAAAGCTAACAGAGAGTTCTGTAAGAGCAGGCACAAACTCACTGCCTAGCTCTCTACAGTGCTTACCTTCAGAATTTCAAGAATCAAGAAACCAACAGGAAAAAGTTCCTTGCCCTCATGTCATTAAAGCTATTTTTAGGAGAGTTTAATACAGTGGAGGTCTGCTGCTGCCAAAAAGACTAAAATCCTGTTTTACACACAGACAGACTTGGCGAGCAGTCTGAGTTTTCACCTCGCTTGGCAAGATTTCAAAGTACCCGACAGAGCCAGATAACTTTTTGGTGAGAGAAGCAAAATCGCACTCCTGAGCAGAAGGTGTGACACATGTGGAACACAATGAGCTGAACTGAGCTCAGGACCAGGACCCATCCCAGGAGCTGCAGCATCAGCACTCTCCAGGCTCACCCCTGCGCCAGTGGCGACTCGGACTCGTCACCCTTCACTCAGCATCGCCATCTGTTTGTCCGAATCTAACGCGATTCCGTGTGCCAGCCAAGGCAAACTGCAGAAAAAGGCAACAAGCCCTTCATTCAGACCATTTGCCACGACAAAGCCGACAATGGCCAGTTATGAAAAGTCCCATGTACCCTGCATGTCCTGCAACGCTGAGTCCAAACGGGGATCTGCACAGAAGGAAGCCCAGGATGGGGAGAGGAAGATCGAGACCAGATTTCAATGAAATAAAACCATCCCAGAGAGCCGCGGGCCACGGAAGACGTGGATGGGGATGGCCGGGGAGAAAGGCTCCTAACCCGGCATCTGCGGCACGGGCACATCCCAGGGCTGCGGGGCGGGCAGAGGCACCGAGTGCGAAGAGGAGAAAGGAGAGGGAAAAAGAGAACGGAAAGGCCGGCCCGGCAGGACGTGGCAGCCCCTTACCGTACACCAGCTTCTTCATCTCGTG